TCAACAGAAATGGGCATAAACAGCCAATTTCTGATGGGTTTGTTTATTGTCACCGTTCTGGTGTTTTTATGGTACCATTGCTCGTTTTGGTGTTATGTTCCTGTTATCCCTTTTGAACAAGACACAGTGGGGTCTTTGTGCCTTTGGAGAAGGTCCTTTCTGCTGACAGTGACTCCTTGCTCCAGAGCACGGGATTTCTCTGCAGCTCCAGCAGCACTATTGCTTTTTTGTGGAAGGTCTAGCTCAATTTTCCTCCCTATTTTCTGTTAATTTGTAGAGAACATATGTTGCTTTGTTCAGGTCAGATTTGCAAATACATCGGTGGAGCTCGGTTTTTCTCTTTCCTGCCAATTGAGTGGGTTTTTTTTTTTTTTTTTACCGTTCATAAATCATCTGATGAGCTGTTAGAGCTGGAAGAGGCTGTTTGGCGTTTAAAAAGCGAACGGAAAACTTGAGTAAGGGATGCGTTACAGGAGGTGGCCTCTCAGGAAGGGAAGCAGTGCAAAAGCCAGTGGTGTGCTCCTCGTTCCCAAACTTGTTTGGAAGAGATGACCAATCCCTCACATCTGTCCGGGTGCAGCTTTCAGACTCCCATCCTGGCGTTTCCAACGGGAGCATCCCCCAGCAGGGAATTCCTCCCTCGCCCTTCAGTCCTGCACTTTGGTTTCTTGCGGGAACTGGTGTTGTCCTGCAAAAACCGCGGGTTGGTAACGGGGTGTGGCGTTAAAATTTGCCACAGAGAGTGTGAGAAGGAAAAGGGGAAGGTGGCTCCTGCTGGAATCCTGCCCCCGCTGCCAAACTTGTCCAGACAAAGTGTTCAGAGCGCTGAGGTGGTGTAGTGGGAATGGGGAGACTGAGGGCTAATGGATGAGCACGAGCTGCTCATGCAGGTCACAGCTAAGTCGATCACACTTGTGGCTTTTAGGGCCAGAGGGTTTTAAAAGAATGGTGATGACAAGACCAGGATGTGGCAGCTCCTTCATCTGAAAGAGCCCGTGTGCCTTCCCCTGCCTTGGCTTGTGCAGCGGAAGGGCTGCTGCAAAGCTTGTGTGGTCAGGGTTAATCAGAACTTTAATCAGAAGGTGAATATATTTAAACTGGAAGTGTGTATTCGTTAGACGGGTTGGTGGCAGTTCTCGGTATTGAGCTGTTGCTTCTGGGAGAGCGCCTGCTGTGGGATAGCTGAGGCTTTGCAGGGAGCCCAAAAGTGCCTCTCCCAGCTGCACTGGCCAGCTTTGCTGTCCTGAAGGGCTTTGCTCCGCCTTAAGGCACAGGCTTAGCCAACAGAGCGCTCTCAAAAGCAAACTCTGGAAGGTTATCTTTTTTTTTACATGGAATTTCTACATGAATACCGACTATGTTTCCCCAAGCTGGGAGGTGACCATCCCTTGTGGTTTGTTTAACCGCATAGGACTGTTGTTGCAGCAATGCCCAGAAGAAATAAGATTAAAAAGCAATTACTGTAGCCTTGCAAGGGTGTGTGGTCCAGAAAAATTCCTTTTCCAAGTTAAATTCCTTTCCCAAGAAGTTGATGACTTTTAGGCCAAGACAAGAGGTAGAAAAGTTTAAGTACGTGGAACAATTTCTTCTGCGAACTATGGGAACCTTTGAAAGTTGAAATAACTTTTGTAGCTGGAAGTTTCCGTTTATTTAATTTTGTTTTGCTTCCTTAGGGCTCAGCTGTCCTTGTTTTGAGTTAGTTTATTTATGGACACGTCGTGCTGCTCTCCAACAGAGATGACCCTCAACTCCCCCCTGCACTTAGCAAGTCATCTGCCGCTTGTTGGTGTGTTAAGCCCATTTAAAATATCTTCCTGCGATTTGAAGATAATTTGCATCACACTAGGCACGGATTGATGTTTAATACGGAGCAGCTGCTGCCCATTAGCCACTTTTATACGTTGTTTTCTTCCTGGTTAAACACATTCACACAGGTACATCTTGCAACTTGACTTTTACTTGCAGCCAATTAGTCAAGTGCGAATCCAGCTTGAATTCTTTGCCCTCGGTGCATTTCTGTGCCAGTGTCTCATTTATTCCTTCGTTGCAGTGGCTGGAAGAGTCTCTTTTCCCGGGAGGCTCAAGCCAGTGTTGCAGGAGAAGAACAGTCCTGCTGAATTTGGGGTGTGGGGCAGGTGACTGCAGGGACTTTGGGGTGCACTGATGGGGCTTTGCTGCTGAATTGCTGTGTTTTACAGCTGAGAGGGAATAAACCACTTCCAGCACACTGAGAGCAGAGCCTCTGCCTGCTTGGCCTCTGGAGACCCAAGGAATAGGCCTGGTTTGTGGAACTTGGGAGCAGGCTGCACCTCAGCTGGGTCCCAAAACTCCTGAGCAGACCCAGCTTGGAATCCAATACTCCCAGAGGGCGGGTGTGGATTGAATTACTGGGCCATTACCTGGTTGTGCTGCTCTGGTGAGCTCATCTGCCTTCCTCCTGCTACCCATGGATGGCTGTGGCACCGACAGAATTAGCAAAGAGCAAGATGGGAGACAATTGCAGTGTAACAGCTGAGATTTCAGGGAAATAGCTGATGGATAGGCTGCCTCACTTCAGCTCCACTAAACCCTGCCTTTAAGTGGCTGGGAGAGGTTTGTGAGATGTGCTTGCTATGCTGAAAAAATAAAAGGTCTCACTATGAAAGAAGGGAGGAAGGAACTTACAAAAGAGCTTCACTAACTTCTAGATTCTCACACCACTCAGGAGTCACCTGCTCAAAATTCCTCCTCTGTACCTGACCCAGCTCGTTCAATCCTGTTTTTCCCTATGAAACAAGAGGCAAAAAAGCAGTGTTTGCTCTGGTTCACAAGGATCACAGAATCATTTAGGTTGGAAAAGACTTCTGAGATCCTTGAGACCCCCCTGTGCCTGATGCCCACCTTGTCCCCCAGCCCAGAGCACTGAGTGCCACGGCCAGGCCTTCCTGGGACACCTCCAGGGATGGGCACTCCAAACCTCCCTGGGCAGCCCCTGCCAATATTTGATCATCCTTTCCATGAAGAAATTCCTCCTGATGTCCAACCTGAGCCTTCCCTTTGGGAGGCAGTTTTTGGGATGGTGACAGGCTCTTTGTAAAGCAGCTTGTGACTGTGGGGAAACCAGGTGTGAAGGTGACATCCACGGGCCAGTAAAAATCTTGCTGCTGTGACTCCAGAAATGCTGAATGTGAGGTGAAGGGGTAGCTATTGTAACAAAACATGGAGTGGAAATGTCTCCTCCTTGGTGTTTCTGACTTAGCTTGCAGCTGTTGTGCCTGTGCCCATCTTTTGCTTCCCTCCTGCATCAGAAGTTATAATCTAAAAATAAGCTGTGTTGTGCAGAGGAGTGGGAAACGAGATAGCACGAGTGATTTCATGTGTCATTACTGTGTGTCTGCCCTGTGCTGAGAGCATTTCTGCTGGTCAGTGAAACCCTGAGTGGTGCAGGCTGTCATCACCCAGCTGACACTGAGCTAATGCTCCCCTGCTCTCTGGCCTACTCTTAAACCAGACCCCAAATTAAAAAAAAAAAAAAGTATTTGAAGGAGGCAAAACGTTGTTACAGTTTCACTGAGGTGAGGATAATAACCCTTGTAAGTCTCTGGAAGTGAAGGGAATAGGTTTATTTTCTGTGCTGCCCTCTTCTGCAGTACTTGACAGGGTCTCTGGTGAGGTGGCCAGGAGCTGTTCTGTCACCAGTTTAAACCACTGGAAGAGCACTGGCAGTGGTGGTTTGGTCTGTCAGGGAGGCTGAAAGTCACTTGTGTTGCAACCTCTTTGTCTGCTTTAGTACTGACATGTAAATCCAAGGGGACAAGGCAACTTTGCCTGTTGCTCTTTGCACTGACTGGGCAGCCAGGACTGAAATCTCTGGGGCTTTGAGTTTGAAGTTCTTTCCAGCTCTGGTGCTGCTTCACTGTGTGTCTTTGGAGACACAGACAGATCTCATTTGTCAAGGTTTCTGGGGCCCTGTGAAAGCTGCAGGTGCTGTGTGACAAGGCTGCCTCTCTGCCCCTCCCGTGCTTTCAAAGGTGCAGTACAGTCCTTTTCCTTCTTTGTTGTTTTTTTTTTTTTTTTTAATTTCCCTTAGTCTAAGACTTGCAAAGCTTGTGTGACTTGCTGCTTTTGTAGCTCGTGCCTCAGGAAGTGCTGCAGGTGGGTTTGTGGGTTGCATTTAGGCACTTAATATGCCTGGTGTAACTGCCTTCCTCCCTGGTGTAATTAAAAACAGGAAAATAAAGTCTGTTTGGTTGAAAATCTTGGAATATCCCGAGTTGAAGGGAGCCACAAGGATCGTCAGTCCAACTCCTGGCCTTGCACAGGACACCCCAACAATCCCTCCTTGGTCCCATCTTGATCTTGCCACTTCTTCCACACGGAGCAATAATGCACTTTTTGGCTTTTTAAAGCAAGAACTGAAGTTACTTGTGTTCTCACATCCAAGCTGGGATTATTTGTCCTTATTTCATGGGTCTCATCAGGGACCTGTGATAGGTTTACTTACTTTTGTTTAAACTCTTGAGCCTCACCTAGTAATCTTACATTTGGGTGTTGCACAAGACTGGGCTTGAAAAACAGTCTTGTAGGGCTGAAGTTAACCTCATGGAGGGTAAGCAGGGAGTTGACCCAAGTTTATTCCAACTTTACTTTCTTTGGAGTTTTCTTGGTGTATTGGATTGTCTGGGTTTCACTTCTTGCAGCTCTGTTTGTCCGAGGTCTCTGACCACACCAGACACCTTCCATCCTGGAAGGCAGCAGGAGTAAGTGAAGGTCTCCGTGGCTTTTTTCTGTTTGTATTTGGTTAATTCTGCTTTCCCAGTGTAGTTTGAGATAAGTCAGTTGATTGATTAGGCAGTTCGTGGAAGTGAGGGACTGGTGCAGAACCAGCTTCTGGTTGGGAATTTCCTGGCAGGAGATAACAACAAAACCATATCCCAGGAAAAGCTGGACCTGGAGCTCTGGCATGCTGAGCCTGCAGAGACAGATAAGGAGACAGGACAGGAAGATGCACTAATTGATAACTGCTGCAGACCCAGCAGAGTGGGAGATAACTAGATAACTGTCTCCACCCCCTCCAAAAAAATTCCTCAAGCTCAGTATCCTGGCCTTAGGAAGAGGGTCCAGCACGTTTAATTTACTCTCCTCAAACAGGGATCATGTCTGCAGCACTGTCTCCAAATGAGAAGAAAAATGGGCTGCTGCTTTGCCACTTTTAAGCAATGACAGTCTTGGTGTTCCTGTCTTCCAGTTCTGTACCCCTGGGATAACTGGGATGTGCTGAATAGTGATTGGCTGTGGATAATTCCCCTTGTCTTAACCAGCAAGTGCTTGGGACACAGTTGTGTCTTAAGGTGGGTGTGACTGCAAGCCTCCAGCAGAGCAGGGGATCTGCTGGCTGCATTTCCCTGCTGCCAGGGGAATGGTGGGACAGGCTGCCGGGGAAATTCCCTTTCACAGGAGTTTTCCGAGCCTGCTTACCGGGGGAAGACCCCGTAAGTTTTGGGTATCCCTCCTGAATAATCCATGATCTGCTCTGAACAAATGAGCAGGAGTGAAAGGACACCTTTGCTTCTTTCAGCGTGCTGTAAGAACCCTTTGCAGCCCATCACTAAGAGAGTACACTTTGCTTTTTGTCTGTAGCTTTGCTTTAGCAAAACAGTCCTTTCTAGCTGGAGGACCTTAAGGAAGAAAGTCTCTGGCAATATCTGTAGGAGTTGCAGTTCTTTACTGTGCAAATGCTGAAATCTGTCTCTTGCTCTAACGTTTCTTGGAGCTTAAATATTTTTGGATAAACAAAGCATCTGTATAAGCTGCTTACAGGCAGCCTTTCCCCTGGCAGTGGAATGCAGCCACCAGGAATGCTGCAGTGGGAACAAGGAGCTCTACAGAGCTGAGGGTCAGGAGTGGGATGCAGTGGGGCAGCACGTCATATCTAAATGTTCATTTTGATTGGCATATCACATTCCAAGCCATTTCTTCTACAAAAAATTGCTGGCATCCATAACCAGAGTATTTTTGTTTAATTTATGGAGCAGTTTGCAGCAGTTTTTCTCCTCCCAGTTTCCCCAGAATGTTGCTGGGCCGTTAAGTAGGAACCCCTAGAAATGTGCTCGAAAACCTCAGGAATTGAAAATCAGAGGAACCTGCTGAGATAAAGTCTGTTTCTGTATAACTTTGCTTCCAGAGGAAAAACACATTTCTGGTGTTTGTTGTTTCACGGTAAAGGGTTTCTAAAACATCTCCCACGTGTTATTACAGAGGGGAAAGTGTTCCCAGCCTGTGGATTGGAACCTGCTGTCTGGGAATGAGGGAGAGCTGAGTGAGGAAAACAGATACAGAGCAGTTTAGCTGCTTTTACGTGTTGATATAAGTGATGTAGCAAAGCAGCTTTGAGGGTTGTTTTTTTGGGTAGTGGCTTTTTTTGCTTGTTTTAAATTTTTTTAAATAATTTTTATTATTTTTTTTTAATGTGGTTATAATAAAAATAAAAGCCCTGAAGCTTGGGGTGACTGGCTTTGAGGGTTGTGATGGTGGAGGGAAATGCCAGACTTCTTGTTGAGTGATGGCAGCACCACAGGGAATCTGTGAAATGTAATCCCTGGTCTTGGATATGCTGGTTCCAGCCCAGGGATGCTGCAGGAGTGGTACCTTCCCTTTTCCCAGTCTCTAGCCTGTGTTTGAAGTTTTCTTGGGCAGGAAGGTGAATGGAAAAGGTTAAGATATAACAGCTGCCCAAGCACTGCATGCCTGGGTCTGATACCAGTATAATTATCTTGCAAATCTTCTGTTTAGAAGAGGAAAGTATTGAATGATATTTTAAGAGCTCAGAGAAGCTTCTTTTATAAATTTCTGTCTCTCTGTTCTTCCCATCCTCCCTTTGGGATCTGCATCTGTCCTGGTCTCCCCTTTTTCCCAGGCCATCACACCCCTGCTCTGAAGGAATCATGTTCCACCTAGTGAAGTCTCATACTTGTGGTTGTCTTCATGTTAAAAACTAAAAAAAAAAATAAAAAATCTTACATTTGAGAAATACAGTTTCTCAGCTCTCTGGTCCATGAATCCCAAGCAATCCTTGGGATTTCTGTCTTTGCAATGGCTTAGGCTCAGCTGTTCCCTGTTCCAGGGGCTGGCAGAGGTGAGGGCCTGTTGTTTCAAAGCACTTGCACAATGGGAAGAGCTGACTTTAAGCTGCTGTGGCTTGTTTCCAAATCACAGGATAATTTGACAGGAAGGCTTTTGGGAGTGAAGCCGTGTATTTAAATATAGTGGGAGTTCTGACGTGTGGTGTGTTGCAGGTCCAGGTGAACCATTCCTGTCTCCATCCCTTCAGCAGAAGCACGTAGGCCGTGCTTGTCACGGAGCCCTCAGCTTTCATCCCATTCTCCTCCAGCTCCTGCAAAGCCAGAAGAGGGACCAGCCAATGGAAGATGATCCATGAGAGGCCAAACCCCAGTTTGATGGGTGAAAATAAGCAGTGTAGTAAGCAATTGGAAGTGGTTTCTGTTGGTGGTGAACACCAGGAAATTTCACTGGTGGCGTTGCCTGTTCCAAGAGCACACCAAGGTCTGTACTCTGGTCATACCCTGCATTCCTTATCCCTAATGTGTCCAAATGATCAGACCTTGGATTTTTATGTAGATAGGTCTGACTGCAAATATCCTGGCAAGGATCTTACACTGCAGCTTCTCACAGTATTTCATATTATTAATGCTTTCTAGCCTAGTCATAACTTGCTTTTTCAGAATTAACTAAGCTTTTCCTCTTCTGAGTATGTTCAGGTTAATCTGGAAAATTCTGAGCATCTGACCTTTTGGGGACAGTTGAAAATATCAGTGTGTCACTTCTCAGGGTCCTGGCATCCGTGTCGTGCAAAGGTTTCCAAGTGTCTCGTGTTGGGGCCAGATTTGTGGAGAGGAGCGTGTCCTGCAAGGTGTTTTCTTGGAAGGATGAACAAGAAGAAGGTGGGGAGGAGGTCTGAGAAGAGGAATGATTATTTTGGAAACAGGCAAAGGCTCAGTCTCCTGCTGGAGAGGTCAGGTATGGTCAGGTCACTCAGATCCTACAAAACCAACCAACCAAAAACTAATCCCATGAACAAATCTTGCTGATTCATGTAATTGTGTTGCTGTAGATCGTGGTGATGAGTTTTATCACAGTTTGGGACACTAGGAATGAGTTTGCAGTTTGCTGGCAGGTTTGCTAGCAGCTTTCCATGCAGGAAAGATGGAAGGGATGGCTCTGGTTAAAAATGTGGTGTGTCTGGCAGAGGGAATTGTCTCAGAGTCTTCCAAAGCTGGAAATGAGAGCTGAGAATATTCTGCTTTTTTACAGTTAAAAACAAAACTCCAAAATGGAAGTCACTCTTAAATATAAGAGCAAAAGCTGGTGGGGAGAGTGGTGCTCAGTGGTTCCCTGCTGCAGATGTGCATGAACCAAATGAGGGTCACTGTTTCCTTGCAGACCCTTTCATGTGTCCATTGGCTGCATGATTTTATATTCTCCACAGGAAGAGTGCAGACACAAGCAGCTGTAGATTAGGATCAATTTGCAAGATAGTTCCGTGATTAGCAGGCCTGTGGAGATGTTTTTTTATGTAAGAACTGCATTACAAATTTAAATGGCTTCCTATGCTTAAAGAATTAACTGTGAGGATTAAAGTGACATCTCAGACACGGGCTGAGCGTTCTCTCAAAATCCCTTAAAGTCTCTAAATCAATTAGTTTGATTTCTTTAATCCACAAGTGAACTGGGTCGGTGAACAATGATCTATATAGGTTGAATTTCTCCAGAGCATTTTAAGGAGTACTTTAGTCTCCTTAAAGTGGGGGGGAAAAAAAAGAGCTGGTGAAATGTGGAAGTACTCTGTGCCAGGGTGTGAGGTGAAAATGCTCCGCTCATCATCGAGGTGCCTTGTCAAAGAAGCAGTCGTGAGCTGGTTAATCCAGCCTTCACAGGCATTCCTGATCCTTGCTGGTCGTGCTGGGTGAGAAAGTAAGACAGCAGCCTACTGTTGCTGCTTGAAAGAATGTGTGAAGCGGGAAGGCAAAGATATCCGTGCTGATGGACAGACAGAGAGAGCACCAGGGAGAGAGTTTCACTTCTGTCAAGTCTCCCAGAGTGGCCCTCAGCACTCAGAGGTGACCACTTAACTCTCCTAAACTATGTGGATGGTTGGTTTGCTTGTAACTCTGCATGGATAATACGGGGGGTGGCATTCACCTGGAAAACATCTGACTTATTAATAAAGGAATCATGTGCTCTTTCTGGAAATCCTACAGGTTTCCACTGGCTGTAATCTCTTCAAATGCATTAGTCAGAGATACGGCTTCAGCTCTGAGCCTGCTCCAGGCTGAGTTTATTAGATCAGGTGTTGTAAAATGGTGAATATTTTGTGACTAAGCCAGCGATGTTCTGGAGGGTGTTTGAGTCCTATTGACTGGTAGTTCTTGGCTGTGTTGTGACACAGAGAACGAGGCTGGCAAGTAACTTCAGTCATTAATCTTCATAGCATCAAAACCTTCAGAATTTCTTCTTAGCTGGTGCTTCTGCATGAAGGAAATCCTGTGGCTGTCAGAGCGAGTGGTGGCACAGGCAGAGCTGAGCGTTGTCACGTTAGATGCTAAAATAGATCCGGGTTTCTCTCGTGCCATTCTGGCTCCTGATTGCTTAGCAACTCCAGAAACTGAACTATTTCCACAAGGATATTAACAGTTTAAGGAAACAGGGCCCTGAACTTGGCAGCTCGTACCCCAACAGAACAGCAGTCAGTGCTGTGCAAACAGAAGGGTCTTCTTCAGGATGGAGGAGTTTGGCTCATTGATTTGGGTAAGACAGACCTTTTATTTTCTGAGAAATATGTAACAAATGTCAGTTTGTCAAATAATACAAGGCAGTGCTGTGCATGCCACAGGAAAGATAAGAATGAGCTCTAATCAAACCTTGCCACACAGCCCTGCTATCAGCGGAACTGGTAGTACCCAGAGCCAACTGTCAGCGTGAATTCCTTCTGCTGGCTTCTAACTGGCCCAGAAATAATTGTGGCTGTGGCAGGAAGCGTGTCCTTACAGGGTCTGTGTGGCTCTGTAGGGAGAGGAAGAGGCTGCAGCTGGGGTGGAGCATCTGGTGGTGCTCAGCAGCACGAGCTGATTCACGACTCGCTCATCCCGGGTGGGTGTTTGCGTCTGAGCGCCAGTTTGTGCTCCGGCATCTCTTGGAATGGGGGAACTGTCCTTAGAATAGTGGGCATGCAGGGTTTGGAGCTTCCCCTCTGGGTGCAGGGAGGGGTACAGCAGGCTGTTTTTCCCTTGGCTCACGCTCTTGGCACGTGGGTGGTTTTTTGGGGGGTTCGGGAAACTTGGCGGGTGAGCGAGCGTGACGTGTTTGGGAGGGCAGCTGCTGTTGGGAGATAAGAACCAGTCACTGATGGAAACGGGGCCTTCCCGTGTCCTGAAGACTTGCTAGTGGGTGTTCATGGGCTGGGTAACTCCTCTTGGGTTCTGTCAACACTAGGCTGTGTTACTGCAGTGCTGCAGCAGGACAGCAGGGCTCTCAGTGCCCGGCTCATCCGCTGGAAGTGTGCCCTGGCTCCATCCCCATGGACAAAAGCTGTTTGACTTCCAGCCTGGAGCACAGACGAGCCGTCTGGCTGGGGGGTGCACCTGGTGTCCCCCTTCCCGAAGCACTAGGATGGGTTAATCTCGAAGATGAGGCAAGATTGCAGAGCAAAACCCAAAAGCAAATTTCCAGTTAATCCTAAACACAGCTAAAAAGGAGTCCGGGAAAGCAGGACCGCCGTGCTTCCAGCTACCTGCTTCCTGGCAGCCACTCACTTGGATTTGGTTCTGTTTCAGCAAGCACAATGAGAGTTATTTATTCCCCCTCCCTCCCCAGCTAGGGGTTGAATGGGAATGGATGAATTGCACTTTTCTAGCTAATGTGAGTGGAGCAGGGAGACCTTCTGGATTTCCCTTATCTGAAAGTAAAGGTTTAATTGGAAGAACCCTGCAGAGTGCAAGGGGTTGGTTCTTTTCTGAATTTCTGTCCTGGTTTTGTCTCCCTTGGAAGCTGGAGGGGCTGGATGGCGAGTGGATTTGCTTCCCAGTGGCAGGATGGAGTGGGTTTTGTGCTGCTGCTGGCTCTGTTTAGCTGTGCAAGAGGTAACAGGGATGGAAGGAAACCTGTTCCCTGGGTGCTGCCACCTGAGGATTTTGGCCCTGTGCATTTTGGTTTTTAGTTTTTGGTTTTGCTTCAGTGCAGGTGCTTCTTCTCTCTTGTGAATGATCTTGGTTATCTTGAAGACTGTCAGGAAAGGCTTTCAACTTTCCTCCTTCACCCCCCCTGCATCAGCTTATTTGTCAGCAAAACATCTTGTGTTCAGAGCCAGGGTGACTTCGCCAGCTCCCTTCAAACACACCTTGAGGTTTATTCCTTCAGTCTGTGCTCCATGGGGCAGTGTGTGTCCCAGGAGTTCTGCTGGATTGTTCCTTTAGTGAAGGAGAAGGTGCTCTGGATGTTGTAGGTGCTTCTGCTCCGTGGTGCCCCTGGGCCACATCAGGGGGTCAGTGGCCCGTTTCTTACAGCTCCATTTCCCACATTGTTCCCGGGGTGGGGTTTCATCCAAACCACTCTTGCCAGGTGCAGGCTGGCAGGAAAATGAGCCTATATCCAAGACAGACTTCTGTGGGAAGGCTGGTGCGTGTGGAGGGTAGTGGATGCCACCGAGTGGAATGAGGAGCACCTCAGCCCTCCTTCAGACCCAAAGAAAGCTGCTTGTAGGCCTGTTTGGACACAAGGATCTTCTTTCTTACTGGGTAGTCCTTTGGGAAATACTATTTGTAAAATTATGTCTTTCTCTGGAGGTGCTCAAGGCCAAGTTGGATGGGACTTGAAGCACACCTGGTCTAGTGGAAGGTGTCTTTGCAGGGTTGGAGCTGGATGATCTTTAAAATCCCTTCCAACCCAAACCATCCGTGGTCTTTCCTGTATATCCCAGCTATCAGTGGGCCTCAAAGTCATCTTCACACTATGACAACTGCTGATGCTTTAATGAAGGCTTGCTGCCAGCTCTGCTTCCTAACATGCCCTTATCTTTATTTGTTTGGGTTTTTTAACAGTGACTCTCGTGCCTCTGGGAGAAGCAGCCAGCAGCAGGTCTCCTGAGCTTCGACTCTCATGTTCATAACGAGCTTCTGACCTGATGCATCCAGTGCCCTGGGTAGAAAAGCAATTCCAGGTGAGTAAATGAGCTTTGCATTTTCAAGCACGTGTGTTTTTGGTGTGTTTGTTCAATACTTTGTTTGCTGTGACCTGAGTTTGGGCAAGTTCTTGGTTTGGATTTGGGTGGGCAGATATCCATTTTCCTTTGGATATGACACAGGCCGTCACACTCCGGTATTAAATTGTGAAATCTTAGGGAAAGGCAATGGAAAGATCACTTAGATTGGTTCCTTTTTCCTGCTTCCAGGAAAACTAAGAGCAAAACTTGAGAAGATGTAGGTTGTGGATAAATGCTCCCCAAACCCTACTTATAAGAAAATCTTTGCCCCTCTGGCTGTTGAAACTGGAGTGATATTCTGGATAGAGAACCAGACTGGTGGCTGGAATACTGTTTTCCATTCCCAGGTCTGGCTTTGACGTAGATGAATGACCTGCAAAGATAAAATAAATGGGGTGTATGCCCTTTCTTGCTGCTTGTAGTTTTGTTTTTCTCTTTTAATAATCCTTTGAAGCTGTGTGAGGATTTTCTGAAAGGCACCTCATAAGATTTGTCGTGGTTTTGCTGGGTTTGATCCTTGCTGGGAAAGCCCTGTGACCGATTAAAGAGCTGTAGTAAAAATCAGAAAATAAAAGTGGAGCTACTGGGCATAGAAGTTTTGAGAAGGAATGTGTTTTAAAAGCTGTTATTGGTTTGTGTGTAGCCCCAGTGACCAGCACACTGAGTGAACAAAGTCCCTTGTGCCTCCCATTCCTAGTTGGGAAAGCTGTTGCCTTTTCCCCTGAGTGTTTTGGAATATTAATAAACCTGAACTGGCTGATTCTGAGAGGCTGTGCTGAGAGACAGAGCAGAAAAGCAGCTTTCAGTTGTGATTCTTCCTGATGCAGTTGTGATGTCTGTTTTTTTTTTTCCTGTGGTGCCCTGAGCAAATTTGTTTTTTGGAAAAGTTGGTTTTAGCCCCTCTCCTGTCACTGTCTCAGGGCTCCATGTATCTGGATCTCACAGGTTGATTAATCAAGATGTTGAGTGGCTTTTCCGCAGAAATACCACCAAAAATAATGAGAAAAATGCTGTGGCTGAACATCAGTGCCGCTAAAATTGAGGGAACTGGGTTTTTGTGCATGTTGCAGGTCAGGTGAATTGGTCTGAGCAGGTTTTTGGAGCTGTTGCTTCCTGAAAGCTGCACCTGTGTCATAGTGGTTCAAGACAAACTGTAATATTTAGGCTTGTTTTAAGCAGTCATGCAAAATTCGTGTTTTCCCCACCCTCCTTCAGCTACATCAGTATTAAGAGCAGAAGATGCTTTTAGCAGACACCAGAAGCTCCTGTCACTGCGTTGGTTCAGCTCCTGCTTGCTCTGCACCAATACACAGACATGGTGAATAATGGAGTGATCTGTTACTTAAAGTTTAATGCAGGTTTAATCGGGGTTGAACATCAACAGGTGCAGTGCAAGAGGCTGCTTTGGAAAAGATTCCAAGTGAATGTTGTGGGGTCTGTGTTGTTGGGTTGTTCCCTTTGGCCGGGGCAGGGATTGTCCCCCTGGAGAGACCCGGAGGGGCTGGAGCGTGTGCAGGGAAGGGAACGGAGCTGGGGAAGGGGCTGGAGCAGCAGGAGGGGCTGAGGGAGCTGGGGGGGCTCAGCCTGGAGAAAAGGAGGCTCAGGGGGGACCTTCTGGCTCTGCAAGTCCCTGACAGGAGGGGGGAGCCGGGGGGGGTCGGGCTCTGCTGCCAGGGAACAAGGGACAGGAGGAGAGGGAACGGCCTCCAGCTGTGCCAGGGGAGGCTCAGGTTGGCCAGGAGGAGGAATTTGTTGCTGGAAAGGGTGGTGAGGCCTTGTCAGGGGCTGCCCAGGGAGGTTTGGAGTGCCCATCCCTGGAGGTGTCCCAGGAAGGCCTGGCCGTGGCACTCAGTGCTCTGGGCTGGGGGACAAGGTGGGCATCGGGCACAGGGGGGACTCCAGGATCTCAGAGGTCTCCTCCAGCCTTAGTGATTCTGTAATTCTGTGCCACAGGTTGTCATTTATGTGGAGATATTCACTTGCTGGTGCCTTGGTATCTGGGACCTCTGATTTTTGTGTATTTATCTCAGTATTCAGCAACATATGTTCTGGACTCGGGGTCACAAAGCACATGGATGGCTCTTTGCTGAGATGCAGGGATCTCAAATAGTAGAATTTCAAGACACTGCTGCCTTTTCAATGGCTTTTTTTTTTTTCCTTTCTTTCTGTCTTTCTTCTTGGTACGAGTATTATTTTTTTAAACAAAGGAAAAACATCCCTTTCCTCAATTGTTCGCTTTGCAAAACTCGAGCCTTAAAATAATCCAGGAAGCCTTTTGTTATATAAATATACTCATCCTTCTCCTGGCACAGAATGTGCTTGCTAGAGCTGCTTGCTGAATTCTCTCTGAAAACTTAAATTTCAGTGGCTCTGAAGCAGAAACCCAGGGCTCAGAGAGCAAAGCAGGCACTGATTGCTGTGTAATCTCAGGGTAAGAGTGGCTGTGTAAAGCAGACAGAGCAGTGCAAAGCAGTGGTTTGTGCCTGGAACTCAGTTCCTGTGTCTCAGTGATTTTTGTTTAAGCTTGTTACAGTCAGGTGTGCTTATACCTCCAAATTTAGCTCCATGGGAACAGGGCCTCGGTGCTTGTGCTGTCTCTTGAAAGTATTGGTGCTTAAGTTGCTTGTGCAGAAATAGAAATGTGTGTGAATGCAGCAAGGGCTTGGAATGGTTAAAAGTAAATTCCAGTGCAGACTTACTCAGTAGTCAGATTTCCCAATTAAATGGGCAGCAGTTGGCTAGAGCAGACGTTTAAAAAGAAAAGGAACAAAAAAATCACCACCAAAAAAACCCCCAATACCCACCACCACCAAAAAACCAGCGCCCTGGGAAATGTCAAATAATCTTGTTAAAAGTGGTGACTGGTTTCTGGGTGTTGTCTTGTGCATGGATAAGCACCTTTGGGGGAATATATGAATCATGTACAGAACTGAATGTGACTGCAGAGTGTTTCTGTGTCCTGTAGGCCATGAGTTCATTGTGACTTTGACTTTTTGAGTGATACCTTTGCTTAGCTTCAAGCCTGAGCTTGAAGCTGCTGCTGACTGAGGAGGCCCCTTGGGGGGACAGGTTGAAGTATCCCAGTGGAAGCACTGCCTTATTCCCCCTCTGCACACAACTGGGAAGACCTTTTCCAGCACCACCTGGCCAACCTGCTGCTGGCTTTATCCTCACACTCTGAGGAACCATGGGCATCCTCCTCAGCTCCTGTTGGACTCCTCTACCAGCCTTCAGCTTGGACATCAGGAAGAATTTCTTCCTGGAAAAGGTTGTCAGGCCTTGGCAGGGGCTGCCCAGGGAGGTGGTGGAGTCCCCATCCCTGGAGATGTCCAGGGAAGGACTGGACGTGGCGCTTACCCAAACCTAAGAGTCTAATGGAATTTTGGAGCAAAGACTGTGTGTTCCCTGTGTTCAGTTTGTTGGCTTGATTGTGTTGGATTTTGGTACATTTCCTAGCTGCTTATTAAATAGCTTGGCTGGGTCTGGGTGCTGTTGATCATTTCAATCTCGTCTCCTGATTCATTTGCCTTCAGACACGGAGCTGCTCCCCTGTTTCTTGGAAAAGGCAGGGATGTGCTGGCAGGAAGTGGCTGCACTTAAAGCAAATAGGCTGTACCTGCTGATGATTAATCCTTAACCTGAAGAAGGAACCTTCCCTTTCCATCTTTGCCTGAATTAGCAGATGATTGTTCCTTTGTCCCGAGGCTGCCCAGGCTGACTCTGAGGTTGATTCATGGCTTAGGGGCCCCAGTAATAGGATTTCCCGTCAGGGTGTGCTCACCGGTCCTCACAGGGCTTCAAAGACAAAATGGGTTTTCCCTCTTGCTTTGCATCCTCTTGGCTTGTGCTCCTTTTGGCCTTGGCTTCATTTTTACTCCCGGAGTCTCGCAGACAGGAGGCTTCAGCTGGGATTTGATGGTTGGTGCCATCCCGACTCCCCAGGATGTCTGGGGATGGGACAGGCCGTGCTCTACTTGGGTTCAAGTGCTCAAGGATTGAATGTAAATGAATTTAGTCTTTATTTGAAAGGCTTTGAACTACAGCACAGCTCTTTTGCAGCTCTTTTTGCTCCCTTTGAAGGCTGAGCAGCTGATGCTGTACGTGACTGTTCCCTTAGCGTGCAGTTAAAACATCAACTATTACACTGACGTGCAAATGTTATTTTGTGCTGAAGTCATGCTGGAAATAGTTCAAAATGTCTTGTTTATTTGGATTCACCATCTCGCTGAGCTCTAATCTTGTTTTGCTCTCTGGTTTCTGTCTGGTGTCTCTGCAATCAGCAGAGCTGTGTTCAGACTGAGGGGCTGAGCTTCTGGGGTACGTGGGCGTCCTCCGGGGCTGCAGCCCAGGAGCCACGCGCTGTGAGGGCATCTCTCCTGGGGCTTGTGCCTTTTGGGAAGCTGCATTATTAAGCAGTTGTCTTCCCCCAACTTCAGTCAGGGATGCAACAGGTTGAATTAGACCCTGTGCCCTGCTCAGTGAGACCCCCCTGCAGAGCTGCTCCAGCCCTGGGAACAGCCCAGCAAGGACATGGAGCTGCTGGAGCCAGTCCAGAGGAGGCCCCAAGAGGATCCGAGGGCTGGAGCAGCTCTGCTGGGAGGAAAGGCTGGGAGAGTTGGGATTGTTCAGCCTGGAGAGGAGAAGCTTTGGGGTGACCCGATTGTGGCCTTGCAGGGCCTGAAGGGAGCCTGCAAGAATCATGGAAATCCTATTTCCAAGGGCCTGGAGTGCCAAGACAAGGGGGAATGGCTTTCCACTGCCAGAGGGGAGGGTTAGATGGGATACTGGGAAGGAATTGTTCCCTGTGAGGGTGGGGAGGCCCTGGCCCAGGTTGCCCAGAGAAGCTGTGGCTGCCCCTGGATCCCTGGAAGTGTCCAAGGCCAGGTTGGACGGGGCTTGGAGCAACCTGGGCTAGTGGAAGGTGTCCCTACCCATAAGGGTTGGAAGGAGATGATTTT